GCCCAAGTGCCTCAATTCCGTGCACCTTTAAACAAAACCGCTTGTACGCAGATCTAATATCTGCCATTCCGGATTTTCTCCAATAGGACACTTCTATTGATTAAATATTGAACCTGATATCGAACCAAATAAAAAATAATGCCAGTTTTAATTCCATGATCGTTATGAGAAAAATGAAGTAAAAAGTGGGGAATAACTCGGTGATCTGCATCATTTTTTGGGTTGTTAATAAAAAAAAAAAAAAAAAAAACAGAAGTTGGAACTTTCAATTAGTTTTTGTCATCCATAGAAATATTTACGAATGATCTACCGTAGCTATTTTCGATACATAACAAATCTGATTTTGCGATTAAAGCCGTCCTTGAAAAGACACCTCATTGGAAAAGCGGAATGTTTAGTAAGTGCTAAGGCCGTTTACTCCAGTAAATACGTTAAATGCACTGCCATGTCACGAAAAAATTACATTCCTTGACTTGTACAGTCTACTGATTTTAGGAGTTCTCTCATTCAACATAGAAGTCTTTTTTAGGTTTGGGGAGCGAGGAGGCCAAATCCAATACAATTCATTTGGTTTTATCAGCTATGTTGATAATGTAAATTGGTCTCTGTAGAGACTTTCTAAAGTTGACCTTGAGGCCGTTAGCCCTTCGTTAGAGCAAAATAACGACTGAAGGTCTCATGGCTTGAACCGCCAGCCCTTGAATCTCTCTAAGATGGCATATTGACATTGTCAGCACTGTTAATACCACCAAATCATCTTGTCATACTCCGATCCCCCTCCCCCCTGCTTTGGAAGCACAAGAAAATCTAAGAAAGAGCCAGGAAATCCCTTCTGTGGTGCAATCTGTCTTTCCCAAAAGCGCGTGAACTTCTCAAGGTCACGTTTCGAAAGTTTATACTCATGCATGGTTACCCAAACTTGAGCTCAAGAAATTCCACGGAAATCCCATGCATTGGTATCCTTTCTAGGAATCTTTCGAGTCTGCGGTTCATAAGAATCCAAACTTGTCGTCCTTGACAAATTCAACTACCTGAAGTCACTTCTCACTGCCGGCACTGCACAAGGTTCGTTCGCTGGCCTAGCTCTGACGATTGCTAATTACGAAAAGGTGGTTGACCTACTTAAACAAAGATTCGGAAATCGACAGATGGTGATCTCTAGCCACATCGAAGTGCTCACCAAACGACCCAAGGTGGAATCGATTGGCGAAGTTAAGAAACTCCGAAGCTTGTACGACACCGTGGAGTCTCATGTTCGTGGATTGGAAGGCCGTAAGCAATACCTTTCAGTCGCCCAAAATTCCAAGTTTATCGATTTGCAAGAGTTGCATTTGGTGTCTCCTCGAGTCCCTTCTTATTTAACGCAACAATTCGTCATCATTTGACCTCTGCTGACATCCCCAGGGGATTTTCCGAAAGAGTTTTGAAAGGTCTGTACGTAGATGACTTTGTTAGTGGAGATGATTCCGACGATTCAGTTCTTGAGATGTATGAGAATCTGAAGTCATCTTTCAAGAATGGAGGATTCAATATGCGAAAGTAGGTCTCTAACTCTAAAGTCCTGCAGGAAAAAATTGAACAAATTGAAAGTCAGTCCCATCAAGTTTCAAGCAGGTTTGTCAAGGAATGCCCGGTTCAAGAAGAAGACGAAACTTACTCAAGTTCTCTGTTCGGGACAGCGAAGAACCCCTCCACATCACAACTCAAAGTACTTGGAATTGGATGGGATGGGGAGAAAGATTTGTTGCTCTTGGATCTGTCCTCTCCATTAGAAACTGACAATACTTGTCTACCTACGAAGAGGGCTATTCTTGGTACAACAAGCAAGACGTATGACCCCCTGGGACTACTTAGTCCAGTCGTCCTTCTACTGAAGATCATCTTCCAATCTATTTGCAAGACGAGGGTTGGTTGGGACGACCCAGTGTGGATTCATTTATCCATGAACAGTGGTAAAGCCTGTTCAAGATGCTAAGAAGGTGGGAGTAGTACTTTCATGGTTGGTCAACTACTTTCATGGTTGATCAACTACTTTCATGGTTGGTCAACAGCAGATTTAAGAAATGTTCAACTCTGTGGTTTTGTGGATGCGAGTGAAAAGGCCTATGAAGCAGTTGTGTATTTACGCATTGAAACAACCGCTGGAACCAGGCTGTCTTTACCCAGCTTGTGTCATCAAAAACCAGAGTTGCCTGCTGAATGGAGAAACCATACCTCGACTGGAGTTAGCAGGTGCTCTCATTCTGGCCAGATTAATCAATACAGTGTTGGGAGCATTTGGCTGAACATTGAAAGTTGATTGCGTGCGTTGCTGGTTACATTCTCAAATTGCTCTGTGGGGGATTTGGGGTGTAAATAGAGAATTCAAGGAATTCATTCAAAACAGAGTGATTGAGATCCGTCAACTTACAAAGTCCACTCAATGGAATTATTTCCCCACGGAATCCAATCCAGCTGACATCTGTTCGCGGGGGTTAATGACCTCGAAATTGATCACCAATCAGTTGTGGTGGCGTAGCCCTGAATTTCTTAGAAGTGAGAAGGAGCAGTGGCCAAGTCTAAAAATGAACTCTGTGGAAGTCACAAGTAGTGATTTTTATCCTCGCCTAGAACTGAAGAAGGGAAACTGAAACAACAGCAAGAATCAACATTACAATTCAGCTCTGGTGAACATTCCCACTGAAGAGGCGACTTCCGAAAAACGGCTTAATCTTGATTGCATCGTTCCCTCGGGAAAGTTCAGTAGTCTTTAAAGATTTAGGCGAGTCACCGCATATGTTTTGCGATTCGCTTCTAATCTCAAGCAAAGTAAAATGAAGAAGAAATTGATTGATGGAAATATGACGCAAGAAGAGATGAATCGAGCAAGAGAACTTTGGATCAAGGAGGTGCAG